CAGAAAAAACAGTGAGGGAGACCTCAGGAGCAGAGGAAAAGATGGCAAAAAGGAGGTTTGCTCTTTACTCCTCCTGACTCCTCCAACAAAGAGTCAAAATGACACCACACTGAAAGTAGGAGGGAGACTTTATCTTTTTCTTCCCCATTGGGTAAACATAACAGAAGCCAGTGGGCAAATTCAGATTAATACTGAACCTAAAGAAGTTGAACAAGTATCTCCTTTTCAGAAGGTTCAGGATGGAGAACATATATTCGGTCCGAAAGATCTTGCAGAAGGATGTCTTCATGGTCACTTTGGACTTGAAGGATGTGTACCTCCATGTTCCAATTTGGTCAGGACATCAAAAATTCCTGAGATTTGCCGTTCAAACAGAAAGGGGGTTTCTCTACTTTCAGTTCAGGGCCCTGCCTTTCAGACTCTCGGCAGCTCCAAGAGTCTTTACGAAGATTGTTTCAGAGGTAGTCTCCAATTCCACATACAAAAGATTTCCCTGATTCCGTATTTAGACGACATCCTCCTGTTCGCCCCTTTGGAGGAGGAACTTTTGCGGAACTTGGTGATAGTCAGGGGGACGCTCAAGAGTCTGGGTTGGCTGATCAATCTGGAGAAATCCTCACTGATTCCGTCACGTTACAGAAAATTCCTGGGGTTTCAGATCGATTCGATAAACCAAAAGCTTTTTCTCCCAGAGGAAAAAGTGACCAGTATAATAGACATAATTCAGGAATCTATGATGGCGGATCTCCTATCCTTAAGACAAGTTATGAGAATCCTGGGAGTCGTAACTTCAACAATTCCAACAGTTACATGGGCTCAGTTGCACTCCAGGCACCTTCAGTCTTTTCTTCTATCCCATTGGGATCATTGGAAAGACTCCCTGGAGAATCAGGTCTCCTTACCCGTAGAGTTACGTCATTCACTGACTTGGTGGTTGAATCCACTGACCTTGTCAAAAGGCAGGTCTTGGAGTCAGCAGACTCCTGTGAAAGTCACTACGGATGCAAGCTCATTCTCTAGCATTACAGGATCAGGGGTATTGGGGCCCGAATCTTGTGGATGCATCCTCCAACCTAAGGGAACTGTTAGCAGTAAAGCAGGCCTTGTTAGCTTTCCAACACAAGCTGGAGGGGCAGGAGATTCTAATTTTCTCGGACAATGGTACGACTGTAGCATATCTAAACCGTCAGGGGGGGACCAGGTCTCCCGGTCTCCTGCAAGAGACTGTTCAGTTCCTTCTGTGGGTGGAGGAGCATTTTGACTCCATTTCCACAGTCCACATAAAGGGGACATTCAATGTGATAGCAGATTATTTGAGTAGAGCACCCATTTTCCAGGGAGAATGGGAGCTTCAGCCAGAGATTTTCTCCCAGATTGTCAAGCGGTGGGGAATGCCTTCGTCGACCTCTTTGCCACGAGAAAAAACAGGAAAATGCCTCTCTTCTTTTCTCTTTCTAGGGATTTTAGCGGGGTGGATTGTCTGTCACAGGATTGGGAGTTCCCCCTACGCTATGCATTTCCTCCTCTCTTTCTTCTCCCTCGAGTGAATCAGAAATTAAGTCGCTCGGATTGCAAGCTCATTTTAAATTGCGCCATGGTGGCCCAAAAGGATGTGGTTTCCTTAACTTCAGAGAAGATTAATTCAGCCTCCATGGATCTTGCCCTTCAGACCGCACCTTCTGCTTCAGGGGCCAGTTTGGCATCACGATCCAAGATTCTTTCGCTTGACGGCATGGATATTGAAAGGAGGATCCTAGAAAGTAAAGGCTATGCTCAAAAGGTGGTGGACACACTGCTATCCAGTCAGAAGCTAGTGACAAGGAAAATTTACAACAAGGTTTGGAAAGTGTTTTCCTCATGGCGCATACAAAACTAGATCTCTAACCCAGTCATTCTGGACTTCCTTCAAGAGGGTGTGGATAAGAAGTTGGCACTGAGTACCTTGAGGGTGCAAATTTCCGCTCTATCTGTCTTTCTGGACAATAAATTAGCAGAGGATGCATTAATTAAACGTTTTTTTTCTGGCCACGGAATGCATTACACCTTTGTCGAAGCAATTTTTTCCTCCTTTGGACTTGTCTTTGGTACTCCACTGGTCTTACCAAATATCCTTTTGGACCCATGGAAGGCTTGACTGTTTAATGGTTATCCTTAAAGATGGCTTTTTTGTTAGCTGTGACTTCAGCCAAAAGAGTGGGCGATCTCTCTTCATTGTCTGTTAAGGAGCCTTATCTTACCGTTTTTCCGGATAGGATTGTACTCAGACCGGACCCATTATGTCTGCCTAAGGTAGCCACTAGGTTTCATAGGTCCCAAGACATTGTTTTGCCTTCGTTTTGTGAAAATCCTAAAACCCTTGGGGAGGAAAAATGTCATAGTCTGGATGTCAGGCGATGCCTTCTGCGATACATAGAGGTTACTAAGGATTTTAGGAAATCCAGCCAGTTATTCGTTCTTTTTGGTGGTTGCAAGAAGGGTAGCATGGCTTCTAAAGCCACCATTGCTAGATGGATTAGGCAAGCCATCTCTACGGTATACAAGAAGGAGGATAGGACTATCTCAACTCAGTTGAAAGCCCATTCTACCAGATCTCTGGCGACTTCTTGGGCACAAAAGGCCGTAGCATCCGTGGATCAGATCTGCAGGGCTGCCGTTTGGTCGAACCCGAACACCTTTGTTAAACACTACAGGGTGGAAGTCCTGTCTCAACAGGATTTGGCCTTCGGCAGGAAAGTCTTGCAAACAGTGGCCCCACCGCAAGGTAGGCTTGTGTGTATCTTGCTTATCTCTCAGGTTGCTGTCCTGGAAGTCTTACCGGTAACAGTATTTCTAAGAATCTTCCAGGACAGCAAGCCTACTTCCCACACTTAGTGGATTTTAAGTTGTCTAGTGTTTCCCCTCGTGCACTGGTGGAGGTATTCTACTTTAATCTCAACTGAGGGATGAGGCTGGTAGGAGGGGTTTTTAACCTTGTCTGATTGTATTTCTGTAGACTGAAGAGCTAATCATCTCTCAAGTTGCTGTCCTGGAAGATTCTTAGAAATACCGATACTGGTAAGACTAACTGTAGATTTTTTTGCCCCACAGACTCCATTGGAAATGGTAAAAAATGTGCGACAGAAGCATGTTGCACATATTGGTGTGCATATTGCACGAGCAGTTCCGGATTCTCGGCGCGGGCAGCGATAACGAGATAAGTTTAAACCCCTGTTAAAGCGTTTTTAAAACAAAACTTTTTGCCTTTATCTACTGCTTGTCAGCAGTAGATATAGGCAAAACAATTAGGCTTTAGAACCCTTTTAACATCTGAATAAAGGAGTTTTAAACATTGGACCTTGGTGTGCAGCTGGTTATGGAAACACACAATTTACTACCACACACATGGGTTGCTCTATAGCAGTGCTTCTTAAACTCTGGGTCGCGACCCCATATGGGGGTCACGGAAGTGAACAGGGGGGGTCGCGATCTGAATCCCCGGACAGGACCGCCATCAGGCAGGTAAGGATGGTACTTGTGTGAGGGGCCCAGGTGGCCGGGGCTCCAAGCAAGATTTTTGAATATTCATTTAATATACAGTGTAGTGTAGTTGTTAAGGTTGCGTTTTCTTTCCCCCCCCCATTGGTGGAACTTTCTTTAAGACAGCAGAAGTGGAGCACAGCTGCTGGAGTTAAAGGTGAGGAGGGAGGGGGGGGGGTAGTAGTTGGTAATGACAGACACACCGATCGACCGTACATCCCCACTGCGGCAGCGAGACACAGACAAACATTGGGTGGGGTTGGAGAGAAGAGGAAAGAGACACAGACCGACATAGGGGGGTTGTGGAGAGAAGAGGAGAGAGACACAGACCGACACTGGGGGATGGAGAGACCCTGACCGACGATGGGGGAGATAGGATGAGAGAGACTCCGAACGACGCTGGGGGGGGGGGGCAGGAAGAGGAGAGAGACACCGACGCTAGAGGGGGAAACACCGACCGACGCAGGGGGGGGAGACACCGTCCGACGCTGGGGTCACGTAACAATTTCCTCGCCCAAAAAGGGGTCACGAGTGGAGAAAGTTTAAGAAGGCCTGCTCTATAGTACCATGCAAGGGAAGGAAGCTACCCTAAAACAGGATATCAGGACCAGCTGGTTCTACAAGCTAAAACTCTTAAACATAAAAGGAGCAGTAGCCATTGTAAGTGATTTCATAAATATTATGACTTTTATTTAAATTTTGTAAATACCCCTTACAGTACCTCCAGGTATGGGGAACACACATTTCCACCTCTCTCACAATCTAGTAACAATGCCTGAGCAGTGTTGCAGAGGACGTATATGCACAGCCTCATCGACGTTTTAGAAAGTGAAAACTTGTCCAGAAACGATCAGGCACACTGACAACATGGGCATGAAGGCAAACCAAGGTAGCCTGCTAGTCGTGCCTTCTACTAAGTAAACATTTTGTTTTGCACAGTACAGGTCCACTTTACATCGCTATCAGGCCAGCCTATCAAACGTGATTTTATTGAGACGCCCATTATATATTCTATTCTCCACGTGCCTCTACCATTACTACACAAAGACAGGTACACTGTAGGTTAGGGACACATAGGAACAGAGGGCAGCCGTGGCGAATCTGCTCAACACAGACCCGACTCCATCTTCCGTTTCTCTATGAAACGTGACTTCTCACTCGCACTAGTCCTCGTCGCAGCAAATTATGTGTGAGAGTGATGTTTTGAATAAACCAATAAAAGCTCGAATGGTCTGCCGTGTCCAATCAGCTCGCGAGGCGTACACTCAGCATGTTAGGCTGCTCCCTTGGCTCAGGGGCTTGAGGCGGCGGTTGGGGAGGGGGGAAAACGAGTTAAAGCATCGATATATTGTAGTTTCGTTGGAATTAGATACTCTGGGTTTACAATCCAAGGAGCGGTCTGTGAGGACGAGGCACCGGACGCAGTTCAGCAAGTGTTTTTAATACAAAGGGCGCTCTTTACAGCAATAGATTTAGCGATCTTGAATATTCCCCCCACCCACCATAAAGCAGCCTCCCGTAGGGGGGGGTTCTTTTACGAAGGCAGCCGTACACCCCCAACTACCACCTTTCCCGTCTCTAGTTGCTGCTTGGTACGCGAAGGAGTCATGTCCAGGCCGGTTAGGTGAGTACTGGGGGAAGGACTGGGAGTGTGGGCCCTGTGGAGTTCTCCGTCACCTGTTCCATCACTTCAGTCACACGTGCCCGCAGAGCAGCGCTCCATCTACATGGCTGGCCGCCGAACACATGCGGCACAGGACGGAGAATTCGCTAAGGGAACGCCATTGCAGTGCTGGCGGCACGGAGCTCTTGGCCTTCTTAGACATACATGGGCTTTACAGCTTTCTTGTTTAGCACTTATTGTACCGTTTATGGCTGTGTGTGCAGTGTTTTGTGTTGGTTGTGGATAGGATGTACATGTATGCTGTGAACATAACAATGGTGAGAGTTTGGCTCCCAAACGCTTATGGATTTATTAGCCGTGCAGGTAGAATGCTCCGTGAATTCACATCTAGATCTGTATATGATTTTGATCTTGAAACTGCTTTTTGTAGCGTTTTAATTCACCGTAGTAGTCCATGTGTTGCATGGAATATGTAAATGTGGGTCCTCGGCGTGTATGCAAGGTTACAGTGGGCTGGGCTACTCATAGTTTCTGGGGGAAGGGCAACAAAATAGTGTACACACAGCCTACAACACATTGCTGTGTGCGAACAAAGGCTGAGCTGGCTGCTCCTCTCTGTGGCGCTAGCTTGTGCCATTTTTATTACATTTGCATGTACCTTTTTTACCTTCTAGTCCCCTATGGATCTTAAAGGAAACATGTAATGGTAACAATACGTATTTACTTATCTCTGCTCGAAATGTTACTTGTCATTCTGACCCTTTGGTTGTTGGTACTTGGAGAGGTTGCCCTGGAGCAGCAATGCAGATCAGCTCTTCAGATTTTACTCAAAACGAACAAATGGGGCCACATTCAGGCATGAGTGTGGCCCATTTCTATGTGTACATTGTGCTACAGGAGCACAATTGTGTCTGTTGGGCCCCATAGACTTTAAACTAAGGGCGTTAAATCTTAAAAATTATTCAAGTACTCTATTTACAAAAATGTATCTAGTGTATGTATCACTTGGCTGTAGATCCTCAAATCATCTCTGACTTGAGCTCACAGACACTCCCTTCTGGAGGGTGGCTACTTTTTGTTCTCCATGGTCCCTGTGTGTGTTTTAAAGTAGCCACCGCTCCAAACTTGCTCCTTTTTGATGGACTACAATCTCGCATTTTAGTTTACTAATTTGTATTGAGATTGTAGTCGATCATGAGAGCAAGCTTGAAGTGGTGGCTACTTTACAACACCCACAGGGACCATGGGGAACAAAAGTAGCTACCCTCCAGAAGGAAGGACAGTGTCGGCATGAATTCAGAGATGATTTGAGGATCTACAGCCAAATATTGCCCAAATAAGATACATTTGTTTGTTACAGTGCTTGAATGCATTAAGATTTAACGCCTGAGTTTAGTGCTACTTAAGGGCTCCAGATGTGCTTTTGCATGTGTGTTTTGATTCGTTCTGGTTTTCTTTTTCCATTGAGTTTAAGTGCATTCTGTTGTATTCCAGTTTGAAAAAAGCATGCTGCTGTATTAATCAAGCTCTGGAACTGAATGCAATGGTGTGAACTAGTGTAATTAAAAACCATTAAAATGACTGTTTTTTTTGGTGCAGATAAAAAACGCACCAGCTTGGAGATGGTGTGAACAGGACTTAAAATGAGAGCACTTGGAAAAACGTGTTTTCAAGCGTTCCCATTAAAGTATGTGTAAACATACCGATTTTAAAGCAGACCTTTACACTCAAAGATCAAATTCTACCAATGCATCCCTCTATGCATTATGAGTAATAATAACATAGACATGTCCAGATGTAAAATGCTGTGATTTTGAAATACACTTGCAGAGCGTTCACTTCCTGCTTTAAAAGGGCAAAATGACTTCAGCTTGCCAAAGTGGTGCACACTGGGAAGGTTACATCAGCAGAGCATTGCTGGGGAATCTCATCTCAGGGAAATGCATTTTCCTCCCCTGAGATGATGTGCATGGTCACGTGCCTGAAATCCAGGAAGTAAAATGAGAGCTAGTATCCTGCCCTTAGTAAACATGGTCACTGTAAGAAAACTGGGGAAGAAAAGAGAAACAAGGTATGCAAAGAATACAAAGCCTACAATTATCTTGAAGTATGTGTTTTGTAGATTGTCATTACTAAAAAATTTCTAATGGTTTGTTGTTGTTTTAAAGATATGGGTAAAGGTCCACTCTAACTTCTATTTGCTCCCTGTTGGTGTGTGTTGAATAGGGAGTTAAAGTGTTTTGTCATCTATTCAATTAATGCACACAATACCTTTTTTTTTTTTAATCCTGGCAGAAATCCTGTGAGCTCATGAAGTCCTGTAATACTGCACTAAAATCCCAAGCAGGCTTATCAGATTGGCGCAGGTTGGCTCTGTAAGCTACAGAACACCATCTCCCATATTATGGAGACGGGAGTGAGCATTCTATAGTCCGGTCCTAGGTTGAGGATACTAATCCCTTTATAGATACAGTGCAGTGAGTAAGAGTTGTCTCCCTAGGACAGTAAAGGTTACTGGGTGAAAGAATACTGATGCAGCCACTACATCTAAGGACTGGTAAGCTGCAGTATTTTTGTTCTTGGTTTTAGATGCACGTTAAAGTCTGTGGCCCACAAATGCCCAATTTTGCCCCAAATAAAAGCTTGTGTACTTATTCGAGCTCCAGGCAGCAAGTGACGCAAAGCTCAGGTGTAAAGGGGTCCATTGACTATTGGGGTTCTTCCTCAGCTTTGGTAATTGCATGACAAAATGCTCTGTTGCAAATGGGACCATAGAGAAAGCCAGGCACTGGAAGACGTTCACAATGGCAACCTTGATTTATCGGTGTAAGATTTTATTTCACTAGGGGGAAAAATGCATATAGTGGCCATGTTGACTTACTGAAAAAGTGCAGAATGTCCTCCTTGTAATGCCAGTTTTACATTGGCAGTAGATGTGCTAATTTAGTTTCTAAAGTGTTCAACTTACTATTGTAAAAGCTAAGTTGAGGGAGGGGGATATTACCTTTTGTATTACCTGAGTTCAAAGAAAACTTTTGTTTGGGGGGGAGGTTCGGAAGATCTGTCAGGCTTCTTTT